GAGAAAAAGAAGATGCGCTACATAAATACAATGGAATATTACTCACCATAAAAAAGAATGAAATCTCACCATTTGTGAAAACATAGACGGACCTAGAGGGTATCATGCTAAGTGAAATAAGTCAGACAAAGACAATACAATTTCACTTATATGTGAAATCTTTAAAACAAAATAAATAAGCAAAACAGAAAGAAACATAGTAACAGAGAACAAACTGATAGTTGCTAGATGGGAGGGTTTGGGGGGCTGGGTGAAAAAGATGAAGGAATTAAGAAGTACAAATTGGCAGTTACAAAACAGTCACAGGGATGTTAAGTACAGCATAGGGAATATAATCAATAATACTGTAATATAGCTATATATGGTGTCAGATGGGTACTAGAGTTATCGGGGGGATCAATTCTTAAGTTAATGTACATGTCCAACCGCTATGCCGTAAAACCGAAAGTAATATAATATTGAATGTCAACTATAAGTGAAAAAATTTTTTAATTAAAGAAAAAAAAAGAAGCCTTGAGCTAGACAATTAGGACCAAAATGAGCAATACATTAATCTATGACAAAGGAGGCAATGAAGAAGTATGCTTAGGGAAGCTGGAGATTTCAGGAGTGCCATAAAAGTGACAGTACCTGAAGCATTCAGCCCATCTTTATAAATGTAGTTATCTAGAAAAATGCCTTTTAAAAATTGCAGACACACCTGCGCCATAGAGTGGGATGGTAAAATAAAATTTTCAAACTTTGTTTCTGATATAAAACAAAATCTGCCATGACATCTGACAAGATCAATTGAATTTGGGAACCACACATTTCAAATAATTTCATCTTTAACACCTTTCCCAATGTGTCCCTAAGGGCATGGACAGGGAAATGCAGAGACGTAAAATCAATGTCACCATGTGTCTGCTTACCCTGTCCCCCGATACAAGGCAGTTCCCACCGGTGCTCCAGGTGAGGACAGTGATGTTGGCAGTGTGCGTTGGGGGGACTGCATGCTGCTCCTTGTCCTGCTTATTAAACACGATCACTTCTCCAGTCTCCCAGCCAACAGCCAGGATCAGCCGTGTCGGATGCCAGCACAGGGAAGTGACCCGGAACGATCTCTCAACATGTGTATCAGGCACGCGCTCTCCCTATGACAGACAAAAGGTAAATCCCATATTACAGAGAGAGGGGCAGCTACTCTAAGAATTTTTGGCTAATCAATGTAATCAGCATTAGCTAAAAGATAAAGAGCTGTTTATCAAGGAAAGGTTCTACTTAATTTTCATAGAAACATGAATTTGCTCCTAGCTGAGCTATGAAAATGTAAGGTTAACCACGCTGACCAGCTTATCAAGGAGCATGACCTCATACAGCTGCTTGGTAACTAGCTAGCATTTTAATGGATTCCAATAAAACTTTATTTATGAAAACAAGTGGTAGGCCATTAGGTAAAGTTTGTCCACCCCAAAGTTCTCAAAGTGTTGTCAGGTGACCCCAAGGGCCTTTTTGGGTCTTCAAGGCCAAAGTTATTTTCAGAATGACACTAAGAAGTTATTTGCCTTGTTTACTTTCATTCTCTCACTGGTGTATAGTGGAATTTTCCAGAGGCTATGTGACATGTGATGATGTCATTGTTCTGATAGCTAATGGAATATGTACTTGCATATTCTTGTTTTCCAGAATTTTCTAAGGAAACAGGTTTAGGGTATAAACATGTAGGTTTTCAGAGATTAACTCAGTTTGTTCTCAGTATTTCTACTGGACTCTTTCTAGTAATCTCTAGTTATACCTCCTACATCTGTGACCCTCATTATCATCGAATAAATCATTACTTAGAAATCCTAAAGTTTTCCTTGTGCCAATTAGAAACATAAGAAACACTTTGTTTTGTAGTAATATTTAAAACGTTTTTGTCTAAAATTGGTATTATTTTGGAATTTAATATTTATTCTAAAGAAAATTTTATAATATATATTAGAGAGTTCTCTGACTCCTAAAAGGGAGGAATCTACTCCAAAGGAGCTGGGCGACACTGTGCTTGGTGCTGAAGCTGGACTAACACGAGAGCTGATGGGGGCTCTGGCTGAGCTTCCATCTATGTAGAGGCCAAAGACCGATGTGTGTCACAGAAGAGAGCTCCGACGAGCCAGACGAGACACCAGGAGGGTTTGCCCTTACGTGGGGGTAGGGAAGGACTTCCTCAGGAAGTACCACCGAGCCACTTCTATCTGGAAGCAAAAAGGCTGAGGGAGACTCTCTTGTGCAGAGGGCACAGCACGGGCAGCGCTGGAAGGCCGAGGAAGGCCTGGCATGTGTGCAGCGTGGGAGGAGGAGCACCATGTGAGGGGTAGACGAGCTGAGCCTCAGAGAGCACTGGGGGCCATGTTAGGGATTTCTGTCCTCACCCGAAGAGCAATTCTGGGGTGGAGAAGGTGAGAGCAGGGAGCAATTCCATTTATGATTCCAAAAGATGGCTCTGCCCGACGTAGAGAATGGGTGGGGGCCCTCGAGGACACAGCTGCTGCAGTGAGAAAGCTGTGCTGGTTGGCCAGAGGCTCCGGTGGGAAACTGGGAGAATCTGGCCAGTTTCCAGAGGGTGGGGAGGGGGTGTCACTGTCACTGTTACTCCTAGGCCCCCATCCTGGGCATTGGGACCGAGAACACTCAGCCTTTGAAGGGAAGTATGGGGCAGAGGATGGTGGGGCAAAGTTCAGTTCACTTTGGACTCATAGAGTTTGAGGTCTGTTTAAAACACTCAGATGTCCAGCGGGCAGCTGGATTTCTAAGTCTGCAGCTCAGAGGGGACTTGTGGGCGGGAGACTTAGGTTTGTAAGTCATCCACTGATAGATGTAAGTTTGTAAGTTGTCCATCACAGGAGGAAGAGGAAATAGAGGGTGAAGAGGCCTGGACAAGCTCAAGGCATGCCATCGGCAGGCCTGGTTTGGAAGGGGAGGAAGGCTGGATGAAGGAAGCAGGATGGAGGACAGCCCCTGTGAGTTCCACAGCATGTTTCTTGGAGGACTTTACAAGAGTGTGGAGCAATGTGGAGATGAGATATCAGATAAGGACCCAAAAGCACATAGGGCGTGTTATGCAGACACCGCTGATGACTCTACATGCTTGAGTGAAGTTTCCCAGGCAAGAGTAGGACTACAGAGGGCTGAGGAGCAAGTGGGAAGGAAATCTGATTTTCTTTGTTAAGTATAAGGTGCATTGTATACTGAGAATTTGTGTGTGGGGTATTGGAAGTTTGAGGAGCTTCTAGAAAGTTTCTGCTGTGGATTGAATTGAGCAAATTAGCAAAAAGATATGTTGAAATCCTCCCCCCTAGTACCTATGTTATGACTTTATCTGAAACTCTTGCAGATGAGCAAGTTAAGATGAGGTCATTAGGGTGGGCCCTAATACAATGTGACTGTGTTCTTAATAGAAGAGGAACGAGACACGCAGAGGAGATGGCCCTGTGATGATGGAAGGAGAGGTATGAGTGGTGCAGGTACAAGCCAAGGATTGCTGGCAACACCAGAAGCAAAGACAAACCATAAAACAGATCCTCCCCTGGAGCCTTCAGAGAGCAATGCCCTGCCAACCCCTTATTTCAGACCTGTGGCCTCCAGAACTGTTTTCAGGCATTCAGTATGTAGTCATTTGTTACGGCAGCTATAGGAAACTAATAGTTTGGTCAATGTGAGCCAACAGGATATTGGATTGGGATGGATAGACAATGCTGAGGGGCCATTTCTTATTGGTGACCATGAATTCATTGTGGAATCTTTCTTAAGTATTTCTAAATATCTCCCCAAACCTAAACTGCAGAGGTCAAAGAATATCCACAAAATAGGGCCTTATGATACTGGGAGTTAGGACCTCAGTAAGAATACACACACACACACACACGCACGCACTCACGCACGCACATGCACACCATACCCCACCCGCATAAATACTCCTTACCATATAACCCAACACTCCACATCCCCCACCCCATCCCCTCCCACACACACCTCATATCCCACATCCCCTTCTACACTCCATCCCACTCCCTTCACAAACACCCTGCACCCACACACATACCTTACACACATACTGCCCTCCTCCCCAAGACACACACATACACATACAAGAAAACAAGAAAGACAAGAGCTAGAGCTACTGAAGTTAGAATCATTGCTTCTTGGTACTCACTTGTTCCAGGTATATGTCCACACTGCCTCCCGAGGTTGTACTGACAGAGGCGACTGCCAGGAATGGATGAACAGGGTGCCAACTGATGTGCGAAGGAGACCCAACTGCATCTGGGGCTTCTATTCGGTGGTCAAAATAGAGGGCCATGATGAAACTCAGATCTAGTCAGGGTTGAAACCTGCAGGGGAAAAAGCAACCAAGTCCTGTGGTTTTGAACAAACCTATACTCATAAGACACTCAGCAACTTATAAATGCACCTTCACACCGATGCAGGCAATTTTATGTGGAAGAGACCTCTAACAGGAAAAAAAAAAATTAGAAGCAAGAGATTGGCCCTGCAATGATCCAGGGCATGATGGAAAACAGTAAAACTTACTGACATCAAAACAACAAAGAAAAACTCTGATGCCTGGATGTGTGTAATCCTTGATCATTTGTATTCAAATCATAATAAGGATAATTTATAACTCTATAGCTCCCTTTTAAGCAAAAGTTCAAACCAAATAAAAGCAAATTGTTTTACAAAAGAGCAATGTACAGAAAAACCTAGTACTCAATTTCTGATAAAGCTTGAAAACCAAGGCTGTCTTCACGTCCAACTCTCAGGTAGGAGAAGGTAAAAAGATTCTTTTGTTAGAGCATCAAGAAAACAAACCCACAGCACTATGGAGAAATTGAACTTCATTAGTTACAGGAACTTCTTTCTTTCTTCCTTCCTTCCTGCATTTCTCTTTTTCTTTCCTGGAAAAGATGTGCATACTGCCCCTTTGCAAGAGGGGTAGGATAGTGAATTAAATGAGTCAACTTCTGCCCAATTTTCCATACCCTAGAGTCAGTTTGGGGAAGCTAACTGATGAGAAGAGAATGTATGTGGGGTGGTTTGCTATCATTTAAAATTATTCAACTTCATAAGCGTTAGGATGGCTATTACCAGAAAAATAGAAAATAATTTTTGGCGAGGCTGTAGAGGAACTGGGACTCTTGTGTATTGCTGGTGGATATATAAAACAGTGCAACCACTGTGGAAATGGTGGTACCTTAAATTTTTAACACAGAATTACCACATGGTTCAGAAATTCCAGTTCTGGGTATAGACTCAAAGAACTGAAAGTAGGGACTTGAACAGATATTTGTGCACCAATATTCATAGTGGTATTATTCATAGTAGCCAAAAGGTGGTAACAATCCAAATGTCTATCGATGATGAATGGATAAACAAAATGTGGTATTTATACAATGGACTATTATTCAGCCAAGGAAGGAAATTCCGACACATTACATCATGCATGAACCTAGAAGACATTATACTAAGAGAAATAAGCCAGACACATAATAAAATAATGTATGATTCCACTTATGAGGTACCTAGAATAGCCATAGACACAGAAATTCATAGAGACAGAAAGTAGATTGGTGGTTGCCAGGGTCTGCTGGGGTGGTGGACTGGTGTGTTTAATGTACACAGGGTTTCGGTTTGGGAATATGGAAAACGTTCTAGAGATGGTGGTGATGGTTGCACAATGTGAATGTATTTAACGCCACTGAACTGTATATTTAAAAATGGTTAAAATGACAAATTTTATATTATGTATATTTAACCACACCAAAAATATTGTGCAGCAATTATTCAACACCTGCAAAGTGCTATCACTCTATCAGAGTAGGGGATGGACTATGCCGTTTGCTTTTAACAATAAAACAGTTGTATCAGAGGAAGACTTGAAGGCTCAGTTTGGATCTAGGGAAGGAAATCCCATTCAGTGAGAAGCTGGAAGGCATGTAGGTACAAGCATACAGTCACATTTCAAGTGTTTACCTTTTTATTATGAATAAATACCCTGAATACTAAAAAAAGGTACAATTTTCAGGATTGTGCTCTCACCACCACAAACTGCAGAGCAACCTATTCAGGACAGCCTGGCACCAGTTGGAAGAGCAGGAGGGTAGGGGACTGGTGTCAGGGAAAGGAGCAGGATCCTGGGGTCTCCTGCACACCCATATCACTTAGGGAATATCTACACTGGTCAGGGCTCCAATTTCTTTGAGTAAAGTCCTTATGCGAACCTTCAAACAAAGCCATTAAAAATGAAAATACACCAAACACCTGGCAATTTAATATAGCAAAGGAAACCTTTTAAAGTGAGTTTTAATGTGTTGTAGCCAATCAAGTGTCTAAATTCTAGACTATGGGAAATTTGTATTCATATTTAACAAGTTTACTTTGTGAAAATATTCCTCTGAAAAATGAGTAACATGTTAATTTTGTAATGATGGAGAATTATAATGGCACTTGAAAAAGTTAAAATTTGATTTCCTCTGTATTTTTTATTTCAAACATCACTTTGTAATAAGCGTGTATGCCAACAGATCTTCACATTACTTTTTTCCTGCCTGGGGCTCTCCCAGAGGCTATCTCCCCAACATCCATCCTTTGGGTTCTCAAGAAGCCTCCTTTCCTCCAGGGAGCCCTGGGACTTGCCTTCTAGGTTGTTCCGCGCTTCTGCTCAGTGTCCCCATATAACCCTGTACTTCTCCATCGCTGTATTTGGACTTCATTGGAAATGTGTTTGAGCTACTGTTCGCCACTTACTAGCAGATTATCTGGTAGGAAGACTGCTGGATCATCCCCAGGCCCTAGAACTGTGCATTGCATAGAATAGGCCCCTAGTAAGTGAATCCCTGATGAAGATATTTATTAGCAAGAAAAGCTATAAAAAGTGGCTTACAGGCCAGGGTGAATGAGTACATTTTCATACAATGTATGATTGTTCGTCATTCCTTTCACGTGCATTTTAACATTTTTCTACGATCAATAATTATAAAAGTTACCAGAGTAAACACAAGGAGAGATGACTAACAATAAAATATGACATCTATAATGGCATTAGTTTAGAAACAAGAGCACTTCTTTTCCTTAAAAAAAGAACCCTGGGTCTCTAGAACATAAAAGCATTTGGTAAATGTACAAACCGGGGGGGGGGG